AAAAAAAAAAAAAATTAGCAAAAGAATTGGGCCCAAGTCGAAAGTTGTTTGGAATTTTGTTGTACTAGGAAATAAATGCATGTGATAAATTTTATGATTGTGACAGCATTTTATTTTTATATTTATTTTCTTAATTTAGGCGTAAAAAATTGGCATAATTTTAAAATTGGTCCTATAATTTGACCACTTTTCAAAAAACCATGCCGATGTTGACTACTTTCAACCTTGGTCCTATAATTTGACATTTTAATCAAATTTGGTCCTTTTGTAATCAATTTTGGTCCTTTTTTAATCACATTTTAATCCATGTTCTGGATAAAAAAGACTAAATTTGATTAAAATGTCAAATTATTGGACCCAGTTTGAAAGTGGTCAATATCGGGGTGGTTTTTAGAAAATGGTCAAATTATAGGACCAATTTTGAAATTATGCCATCAAAAATTTTCAAAACTAGTCCAACAGGTATAGGGTGGTGATATTTTTGGTTCAAACGGAATGCAGAAAATATGAATAGTCCCACAACTTTTTAAAAATGATCAAAAGTAGGATTTTTTTTGTCGGATTTACTATTTCCTGCCCAGAACGCCACGTCGCGTACATGTGGCTTATTTTTTTACACGCTGGCATCCAACGTATTCATATATTTTTACAAGCTGTGGGACTATTCATATTTTCTGCATACTTGTGTGACCAAAAATGTCACCCCCTCTATACCTATGGGACAAGTTTTGATTTTTTCCCTATCTACGTCGGATGTCAGCGTGTAAAAAATAAGTCACATGTGCGCGACGTGGCGTTTAGAGCCGGAAATAGTAAATCCGGCAAAAAAAGTTCTACTTTTGATCATTTTTAAAAAATTGTGGGACTATTCATATTTTCTGCATTCCGTTGGGACAAAAATTATCGCCCATATACCTGCAGGACTAGTTTTGAATTTTTCCAAATTAAGATGTAAGGGTGCTATTGGATATATATTTTCAATTGAATGAAGATTGTTCGGCTGGTTATTGTGATCATGAGATAAGAAAATAGTAAAAAGAAAATAGTTTGTAGTTATACAAATGTGCGTATACGAATATAAAATTTAATAAAGAAATATATATATATATATATATATATATAGGTAAGGGATCATATGAGAAT